GAGGAACTTTGTAGACTATATTAAACGATGTGTCAGATGCTGTTTGGTCAGCATCTACCATATGTTGCAATATCGACGAATCAATACCTTTAAGCTCTCCGATGCTCAACCAAACTGGGAGGTGCTGTGTTTTTCGACGATTCTCTGATGTACCCAGCTCCACCAGATCAGGTGAACATGTAAATAAACATGAAATTGGAAAATCAAGGTAACATCTCCTTGACATTAAGGTGTACCAGTGGACGGCTAGAGTAGTTTATTCGTACAGTGGCAGCAAAGAATGTTATTCTCAATGAGGACTTCACTAGCAGTGTCACCCTCAAATTCTAAGTTTAGATTCAACACTCTTTCTAGCTACCTTGTCTCTCTCCATATATTTCGCTCACATGATTTGCTATTGCACTCTTGATAACGGTTTCTTTCAACTGTCTAGGGTCATCATCAACACTATGTTCACTACAAATTCTCCAAAAATCGTGTTAAGAAAGAACATGTTACATTTTTTTCTGTCTATAGAGAGAAAACTATAAAAATTGATCCACTGTCTTGTCCATGCCAAGTTTCTGTAAAAACATCTTTTCAAAGACCTGTCGGCTCCCCTTATAAATAGTACATCAAGGGAAAGTATTGTTCTGTCACTTTCCTTTTCTACAGTGAAGAGGATAGCAGGATGATTGTCATTGAATTCTTTCAGGGTGTTATTCAATACAGCAGTTTTTGTCGCATATAATGAATCATATACACTGATATTATCACACTTCATTATTCCCATTCACTGTCAGACTTTAACACCAGAAAACTGATTGTTACTGTCTACCGTAATTCATATATATATATATATATATTGTTCAGGCATGAAAATGAAATCGTATTTGTTATCTGTCATCCCTTGAATTTGCATTCATTGTGTCCCATTTATGTGTTTATATTTTTGTAGTATTTATACTTCCCATCACACCAGTGAATATAAATCAACCCCTTGAGACATCTATTGTTTCAAGTATTGACTTATAGGGATTTTGTTTGATTGGTTGGAGGACTTCATCATGGGCTGACATCAGTTAGAGAATTATTGAAAAAACTGCACAGAGTACTGGACAGCTGCTTCGTCCTGGTTTGGGACTCTTCATCAGTATGCACCCACCTCTAGGGCTCGAATCCAGGACCTTCTGGTTACAAGGCGAGCGAGCTCATAGACCATTCAGCCACTAGGAACCGATCCAATGGCCAGTCCATGAATTCTAACTTCTGCCAATTTATGACATAGCGCGACCACTTCACAATGTCTTCTTAGACGAGTTACTGCCTCACCTTTAACCTTCTGTACTTTACTAGTCACGGCTTCCCACTAGAATTTCAGATGACTGCCTGAATAGGGCCAGTCGCCAGTAAGCATTAGATCTGCAATTAATAGTGCTCTCTGATCTGGTTGGTTCTGTTGCGGAGATTTCGTGGTCCTTCTGGACAACATCCCCTTCAGCGCAATATTTAGCATAAAGCGAAATGATTTTAATTTTTCATGAGTGATGTAATTGCGTCTCCCGGTGACCATCTTTACAACATATGTATTGATCATTTTCTATTGACTTGGATTTTAAACTTTCTGGTCACACGATTTACTTTTTATTAGTTGGTATATTTGGTCTATATTAATGTGTTTGTTAATTGCATGTTCGTTTGAGTACCAGGCTTCTAGGAATACCTGAGCTACAAATCTCCTCTATTATTTCAGGCATTAGATCTATTTTTGTTGATTATAAGTACATTAGCATATCACTTAAATTGTTTATTCATATATGATCTTATATTCCACATGACTGTACATTTTATATGCACTTTGATGACAATTAAAGCCAACGAACTATTATTCCAGTTTATTCTTATACACTACAATACAGCTTGTGATATAATTTTGATATGCCTTTATTAGCACTATTGTATTCTAACATTAATGGATTTATAAATGTGTAGAGCTTCGAGACGACAAAGTTATTGAAACCACAGTTGTTCGCTTGAAAATGTTTTTCTTTTTCTAAATATATTATGGGGAATATTTAAATTTATTATGTATCAAAATGAAACTGAAAGAAATAGGAGTATTTTAGCTCAGCACCAGCTTCTTGGGTGGAACACCTTCCAAAAGGTACTTTATATTTACAGGGCATTTAACACAGACAAGAAAATAAATAAAAAAGAAAGGTTTTTTAATAAGCTAACGTTAAATGTGTTGTGATCAATTATTATGAGTTTTTCTCCAGATATAAAATAATTTCAAGTTTGACCGCGGAGTGATGTCAGCTGAAGAACCATTGAAAACCACCAGATGGTACTAGACAGTTGTTTCGTCCTAGTTTGGTACTTAGTGGAAGTACGCACCCACCTCTAAATTTCGAACTCGCAGCCTTCCGGTCACAAAGTGGGCTTTTGAGGTCATTAGGCCACTGCGAACAGCCTTAATACCCCATACCTACAGGATGGCATTTTTTGGGGTTCTAGCTAGAAGTTGTGACTAGTGGAGTCCATCGGATCGAGAGTGAGGACAGATACCCTCCAAGGATGATATTGGCTGGTGTGAGTCGCGCTAAAATCAAAAATTCGTTGCAGTTAGAATTCACTTGCAGGCCACTGAGTCGCCTCTCAGTAGCTGAATGATATACGAACTTGACTTGTGCCTGGAAGGCTCTGGGTTCGAAACACAGCAGTGAGTGGGTACTGCCGATTAATCCGAAACTAGGACGGGACAGCTATCAAGTACTCTCAAGTTTTCCAATTACTTGCTAACCGATGTCAGCTCACAATGACACTATTTTCCTTCGAAAATGAATAAGTTGTACGAAATATCGTACCTACCTGACTTAAGAGTTTGTAATAATTCATGTGGTGCTGTTTAAAATGATGTTGACTTCTGACCCAAGTGAGTAAAACTGATATCTGGCATACCATAGCACTTCGACGTAACAAGGGTTCCAAACTACTCTTTCCAGTCAGTAGTAAATGTCATACTGAATATGTTTCCACCTGGAAACAGAAGAAATCAGAAGAGGAGGTTAACAAAGATTTAATCGAAAGGCAAATATTTCTTCGATCAGTATTTTTTTATTCAAATGTTTAGGCGGGAATTCCATATTAGTTTGTTTATTAGATGTATCACACAGTGAAACAGTATTATTTACTGGATGACGTTTCGAACAAAATTTACTTATTGTTCATAATCATTGCATCAATTATAATCACACGACTTCGAAATTTGAGTTTTATAGTTTTCTTTGTTCTCTCCTATTTGTTGTCGTAGGGGTAGTAGAATTTTCAAGATATCCGACTGGACAGGTGTTGAATCATTCCTATTACATGTACTTGTAGTTGATTCGAAAAACAATGCTTCTGTTATCAATCTCTCCCTCCACCCTGTGACATTAGATTTTAAAACTGTCATCCTATCCCATCCTATTTCATGGCAGTGTTGTGTGTAATTGCATGTAGTGAGTGCTATAGCTGAACTATTCTCCAGATTTCTTATCTTATTCGGGTCAACCAATCTAGATTTTGCTAGGTTTGTATGTTCGGCTAGTCTGACTGCCCCTGTTCTACTAGTTTGACCTATGTATTTGACCTGACAATCATTGCAGACAAGGTATTAGATAAACTAAATTGTTTTGTTTTAAAGGTTCTACAGGATCCTTTAACCGACAAAGCTTGTTTCTAATTGAGTTTGTGGGTTTGAATGCCAGCCACTTTTATTCCTGCCAGCATTGTTAACAATTCTGCGTAAGATTTCCGAGGTTCCTTCCTTGTTTGGAATTACTACTGATGATTTAGATTCATTATTGTTGGTGTTGTCATTATCTTGCACACATTTGACTTGCATGTCATCATTATTATTATTATCACTATCACTACTATCATTATTTATTTTTTTTAAACATTTCCTTACATATTTCCTGACTAATTTACCCAGGTAATTATTAAGTTTCAAGGCTTTTCTTATATGTCTCACTTCCTGTCTTAGAATTTCCTTGGTACTACTTAGTTTTTGTGCTCTGTTATTCAAATATTTCACCAATCCTATTTTTACTGACATAGGATGGGATGATCGAAAATCCAAATATCTGTTCGAATGTACCGGTTTTCTGTAATCACTAGTGTTTAACTTCCCAGTCTCTTTCCTCTTACACTGCAGTCTAACAATGGAAGCTCCCCTTCCTGACTTTCCAATTCATCATAAGTGAATTGAATTTCCTCTACCTTCAAGTTGATGTGTCCGAAAAATCTATCTATATCTTGTGTTCTAAGTACAGTGAATGTGTCATCTACATACCTCCGCCATACTTTGGAGTGGGTGTGAACGTTACAATCACTTTGTTTTCCCACCTATCCATGAATATATCTGCCACAACCGGGGATATTGGTGATCCCATGGCAACTCCCTCAGTTTGTTTGTATATTTTACTTTGGAATTTAAATACTGTGGAAGTCAGGCATAGCTGCACTACCAGCATTATGTCCTCAAGTGGCACTTTTGTCCTAAGTTCGAGTTCTTGGTCAGAAATGAGTTCGTTTCTGACTGCCTCTACAACCATATTTAAACGGGGAACTTTTTTCTGAAATGATGATCATTTGTTACGGTATTACACTCAAATATGTTTTTCCGGCTCATTGATTGGAGCCAAATATTCGATCCCCGATGTGTGAAGATTAACATCATATTATTTGGTAGATCGTGGCTGTCAGCAGAATCCAGGATGTGTACTTCGTCCTATTGATAACTCGTCTTCCGAATGTACCTGTACGCCTCAATGTGTAACGATCTGCTCAGTGATACTCGACACACAGCACCTATCATTCTGATAGCTAAAGCAGGTACATCCAGCCAGCGAGTTCCAAACAGGATGAAATACACATCTTCGACTTCACTCCTAATCACTATCCGCCATTTGACATTATGCTTTATCGCCCTTTAACGCAAATACTAAAATTCTCTCCCATTTTATTCCTTCTCACAGGCGCTCAACAAAGATAGCAGAAAGCTCTCCCTATTCTGCCAATTATGATAATACTTCAAATGATGAAGGATCGAAAAGTATCGACCAAATTAATTAGAAGCAAAATGAAAACAAATCCTTTTTTTACAGTTTCACACTACTCACTACATTACAATGGACTAAAGCAACCTAATCAGTTGGCGACATTTTTAATTTATGCAACTTACCGTTAGCGCATTAAAAAATGTGATCCTATTTCATTCTCCTTTTCTGTTTTTTCTGTTTTATATTCTAAAGAGATTTACGCATTGAAAAATTGTCTCGTTTTGGTCTTCAACTGATCATTTAAAGCTAATGTATTTTATATTACTACTACGGTGTACTATCTTTGTAAATAAATGTATGTTTATATATATATAAGAAGAACTTCTTTAGAGGCTTTGCAACCGATTAAAAGAAATGATAATTCGCCTGCCATAATCAGTTCACTCTTAAAAGAGTTGTAAGTATTCAGTAATTGTGATTAATAGGCGAAAAAGGATCAGATCAGGTATATGCCTAACGTCTATTTGACGATTACAGGCAATAGAGATTTATCTTCTCGGATGGTGCCTAGCAGTAGAATCCACAATACGTATTTCATCCTATTTGGCACTCGTTGTCTGGATGTACCTGCATTCTCAGTGAGTAATGATGGTATTCTCACTGCGAAATGAACCTAGTACTCATGTAAATGAATGTGAACATTGAACGTTGGTTCATTGACCTTGGTTGCAATTGGTGGGCAACTCGAAGGTGCGAATGAATCAATCGTGTATAAGTTTGAAGATGACGAAAGAATACGAATAAAAGTACAATACATTCCTTGTAAAACATTTGTTTGTAGACTTTGTAATGATATCGAATTTAACTGCCGAAGAATATAATTTCTTATTAGTCCTTGTGTTTTGGAGTTAAAGTCGATAATCGTTCATAGTAATTGTCGATTCGGAGCGTCTTCGCAAATAATAGGAACTAAGGGTAAAGTTCCTTGACAACCAATTTTTTTGGAACGTCAAAGCGTTATCTCCTGGACCATTTAGGCCACAAAAGTTATCACTAGTACAGCGAGTATCCGTTACTAGGAGGTGACGTGTCAACACAAGCTGAACATATCGTTCTGTGGGAAAATCAAAATTTACTATTATTATTGTTCCCTTGAATTCCTAGTGGAACATACCTCTTCAACTGCACGCCTCCACTTGCTTCTGGCTTCTGCTGTACTTTTCACCTGCATCCATGTCAGTCCATACTGCTTCAACTCCTTTTCACACTACCTCCTCCATGTCACCCATGGACGTCCCACTCGCCGCTTCCCTTTCAGCTTCCACTCGAGCTATGCCCTGACGAGCGATGTCACCCAGCGGCCTAATCAGCGAGTGAGTGTCCAATCCATCTCCACTTTCTCCTGCATATTTGTTGACCGATTGGTTCTTGTTTTGTTTGTTCCCATAGTTTCTTGTTTGTGATTCTTTCCGGCCGGCCGTCTGATCTTCAGTATAGAGCCAGCGAAGACAGTTGTTGATAAAGGTCTGCAACAGGCTGTTGGAAATATTCCTTGTGACCCACCACGTTTCTGATCCGTATAGAAGAACTGACTGACTTGACGTTTGTATTGAAAATCCGAATTTTGTTGTTGATGCTGAGTGACGAAGATTTCCAGAGTGGTTTCAGGTTGATGAATGTGTTTCTTGACTTCCCGATTCTCGATTTGACATCTTCGTCCGTTCCTACTGTGGTTGAGACAATGCTCCCTGGATAAGTGAATGAAGTAACCTCTTTCAAATCCCTCACGTTGATGATGATTGGCGCTGGATGTTGCTGCTGTTGTTGTTGGTTGATTGGTTATTTTCATAACCTCCGTCTTGTCTATGTTCACCTGGAGTCCTGTCTTCTCTGGCTGCTTCTTCGACCAGTTTGTCGGTTTTCGTTTGTAAGTCTTCGATTTTGTGTGACATCAAACATAAATCATCCACGCGCGAAATCCAGGTCTTCTAGGTTCTTCACGTCGGTCCAGGATATTTATTCCGCCAGCCAGAGACATTCCATCTTGTGTATTTCTGATCAAAATAAACTCTTTAGTCTCTCATAAAATTTTTGTTTAAGTTAATTTTTGTGTCAACCATGTCACTTCCTTGTATGAACGCTTCGATGAAGAAGCTTGAGGATTAGCATAATATTATTTGTACACATTGACTGCCCGTGGAATCAAGGTGAATAACTTTGCGTAGTGAACGAAGTCACCAGGATTATTGACATTGTCCATTATCTACCTCTGAGTATGCGGATCTAGTTTCAACCCTTCGACATTGATGGCTCTAACGAAGCATAACATTTTGCATTTCGTTTACTTGTTGATCACTTTGGACAACTTAAAACTCTTCAAAATATGACCACCAGCTAGTAAATGGAGCGTAATTGCACCCTCTAGTGGCCATAAACCTCTAAGTTTCAAGTTCTTTAGAAATATGAATGATAAGCCTTCTGTATATTCTGCTTATTTATGTGGTTTGGCATAAAAAGCATAAAATGCTTCATAAACCTTTAAAATTATCTTACTAACGACGTCAGTGGTGTTTTTTACAACATGGGATTTCTAGCCTCAAGCCTAACCTAAGCGAGCTGGTTCACGAAGAAATGATTTGACTTTTGCTAGTGGACAGACTAGCCTCGCCGAGTTCACTAGTTTGCCATTTTTCTAGCCGTTGCTAATTCCGGAAAAAGAAGGAAGATTGTGCATAAAGCTAACAAGCCTACACCGGAAAACCACTCCAGTTAGTACAGAAACTTCGAAGCATAACAAAAGTATGGAAAACAAACTTATTCTTTGCTGTAATCGAGAGAGGGGCGAAATGACGCAGACTGGCTGGTAAAAAACTTCAGGAAGCCAGTCACCGACCGATTTGTCTTCTCTAGATGAAAGCAAGCGAGAAGAAAGATGATGATGTGGGATGTTCCTACAATGTACGAGGCTGGCTGAGAAGGCTGTCCAGGTAATCAAAGAAATCAGGAAACATGGCATAGAATTGCTGGGTATCTACGAGAGCAGATGGAATGGATGTGGATTATCAAAACTGTCAACTGGAGAACCAGTAATCTACTTCCTTCTGATCACCCAGACGACAACCATGAGCACGCTGAGGCAGTGAGTGGCTATTATGAAGTCACCAGTGGTAGCCAGAGCTTTTATACAGTGGGAACCAATCTCCTCCTCCAGGATCTTGACAGCACTATTCAACTCAAAAGGAAGCAAAGTAACAATTACCTTATGCTACGTGCAGTGCTACATACAACGCGGAACAAGAGAAGAATGGAGGTTTTTACAGACAACTACAAACAGTAGTGGACAATATTACAAATGGTGACAACAAAATCCTCATGGGCGATATGAGTACCATCTGAAGTGGGAGCAGATAATACAGGAAAAGATATCATCAGGCGTCAAGAGGCTCTGGCTTGTAGAAGTGAATGAGAACGGAGAGTTATTCTCAGATTTCTGCTCTTTCAGTGATTTGGTGGCTGGAGGCAGCGTGTACAAGCTCAGTCATATACAAAAGGCTAGTGACATAGGTTTCGCCTGACGGACACACCATGAACCAGATTGATTTCATCTCAATGCTGCTTAAGGAAGTGGAGACGCAGCCAGTCTGCTGGAGACAAAGTTGAGAAGGGAAGCAAATGTGGGCTCACACAACCAACTAGTTCAAGGAACCTTCAAGGTGAAGCTGAAGTCCTTGAAAACATCTGGAGGAGATCACAGTTCAAGTTTAACATTCAGAAACTGAAAGGGAAAACTACAAGGGATACGTTCGCTACAGATCAGGTCGGAGCGAAGTCGGAGACATTACGAGGAAACCTGTGTGGAAGGACACTGGAATTAACGCTCTGGTTTTGATGTTTAAGGAAACATGTACAACTGTTCTAGGAAGAAAGAAGTGACAAAACAAGGAACGGTTGTCAATGGAAAAGAGAAAAGAAGGGTGGTGAAAGAAAAGATGACTCAACGCACAGGTGGAAGACAGAGGGAGAAGCTGAGTTTAATGTACACTGCACTGAATAAGGAATCGAAGAAGAGTGCTAAGAAAGACAAAAGAAGATTTTATACCACACTGGCAACTGAAGCAGAACAGGCTGGCTGCAGGTAAAAGAGACCTCAGGACATTATATCAGAAAACCAGGTCTCTATCCGGGAAGACATCAACGCAGGTGAAACGCATATAAAATGCTAAAGAGAACCTAATTACCACAGAGGAGAAGCAAAGCAAACAATGGGTTGATATCTTCGAAGGACTCTTCAATCGATTATGTGCAATCGTGGGGCCAACTAAAGAAGACTACAGAGAAAAGGGAAACCTGGAGATATGCTGTTGAAGCCTTATGTTCCACTCTGAAACCAAGGTAAGAATAATAATAATAAAATAGTAGACAATATGATTAATGCAGTAATTTGCAATGCATATTTGTAGGTTCTTATTTAAATTCTCACCTGTTTTGAAAGTAGAAATCTATAACTATCAAAGTCTTGATATCATCATATTCAGACAAATGAATTAGTTCACCGTTATTCACGCATTAAACTTACAATGAGTGAATTCCGATATTATGACATGTTTTTCCTTGTTATCTCATTGATTCGTTTCACATGTTTCTGAATCTAATCTAAGCTGGACTGGACTGAATTTTCAACCTGAAACCTCTCAAAAAGTGCACCAATTCAGAATACAGATATCATAAAATCGCATATAAAGGCAGAAAACAACAGAAAAGGAACCATGATAAACGGAGATTTATGACAAGAAGAATAAAACTACAAGGGTAATAGTAAGAACTCAGTCAATCTCAATAGTCATAAATGTTAGATAAATCTGCCCCATTGAGAACAATTTTGAGCCATTGATTCTCAGCATCCCGTGGACACCAGGCAGTCTACACTTTCCAGAGTGGCTCAGACCAACAAACAACGATTTCATTGATTACTTTCACGGTTTAACTCTACCACTTCTAACTGTTTACAAAGTGAATCGCACATTAGTGGACATTGCTTAGCGAAGCGGTTGATGACTTGGCATGCGTAACACATCACAGTTTATGCAGCTTCTCAACCTTATCGATTAGCTTTCCTACCTTTTCCAGCACAGTAAGCGTAACTTCAGTACTACTCACCATATTATACTGTAACGACAGAAGACAAGGGCCAGGCAACAGATCATTTATTTAGAAAATCAAGAGGTATTTATAGGTTTTTATGTGCATTATTATTAGCACTATTGTTAGCGGTGAAGCAACCTCTTCTGACTGGTTGTTTTCTTGCTGAAAGTTATTCTGTTATCTGTTGTGGCCTTTTCTC